AACCGCGTTCTAGTTGCTCTACAAACGGGGAGTAACTACAAAGGATTCAACGGGAGTGTCACATCCGCGATCTACCACATGACCCAAAGTGAAGAATGCATCCGCGGGCAAATAATATCTAAGCACCATGCTTACATGATGTCGACCACTTAACTCACTCGAGTACTAAGCTAAGAGCTTTGCGAACATATGCATAAATTTATCATCAATCATAACTATATCAAGCATATATCTAGAGTAAACTAGGAACATAATAAATAGTAATATAATATTCAAGTAGCACAAAGTCATAAATATAGAGATACAATGGCTATACCAGTCTCTAGACGGCAGATTCGGAATCCGGAGCAATAGCCCACACTCTACTTGAACCTTGCTAGCTAGCCTATACTAGAAACTTGAAGAATTGGAGCTCTACTCTCTTCTCTCTAAAAACCCTAATTTCTGGTCTAAACTTAACTTATGGCAGCGTGCTCTAGAGGGGACAAGGGCTGGTTATATGGGCCGGAGCGTCCAACGTGAGCCCTCGGATTAAACTGACTTAAATAAATGGTGTAGATGCATCCTAGGAGGCGGTGGAAGAATCGACGTTGAAGCGGAGGCTGACGGGTGGGCCTAGAGGGCCGGGCGGCCTGTAGGCGGTGACGTAGCTTCTGGAGTCCTCTGGAACCTTCTGGAGTAGTTTTCGCTGCGGATAAGCGTGATTTAATTTGACGTTTTGATCCCCCTTGACGGTTTTCTGAAATAACCCTGCTGAAAACACAGATTCACCAAAACTCATAGAAATTATCAGTTTAAACCTATAAGTCTATATCGGTGATCATTTTCATACATTATTTCAAGTTATATTGAAGTTTATAATGAATGATAACTACCGTCAACACTCCTATACACCAACAATTCTGTAGTGCCCTCCTGTATGCTCAATAGAACCTTCTCTCTTAGTGATTCTCCTGATGTGATCTTGATACCCTCTGTAGTTGGGTTGCTGCTCATCCCCATGTCGCCGACTGGTAGATGCGGTGTCGACAAATCCCCCGTAGGGAATGACCCAGGCATATCCATGGGACACAGCCGCAAGACCACAAGCAGGCGATGGGACGAGCGAGGTACAACGGAGGGAAGCTGGCAGATTGGCAGATCTAGCGTCTGATGGGATGGGGTGTCAAGCTAGAGCTGCAGCGGCGGTGCGTGCGACAGGTAAGTGCGAAGCTACTGCATCGCTGGGCGCGACGAGGCTGGGAGGGTGCGGCAGCGGCTGGTGCGACGGGGAGGCGCCATCAAGCACATATATGATTATTTGGATGTGGAGGGGAAGTACCCAGCGTCATTTTTTCTCTCTTCTGCTACTGGAGATTTACCTTGTCTGAAAACGTATTCGACAAGAATTAACACAAGCAAAATACATTGCTGACGGTCGACATCTTTTATTCTAGATCTACAGCATGTTCGCTTAGCCTGTTCGGCAGGACTGAAAAATAAGCCAAAATACTGTTCCGGCTGATTGTTATGAGAGAAAAATATTGTTCTGTCTGAAAACACTGTTCATGTGAACAGTGCTTTCGTGAGTGGGCTGGCCAGCCAGCCGAACACCCTCTTGATCGTAAACGATCGTAAATTTCCTGCCAGAACAGTATTTTTCTCCCACACCAAACCAACCAACAGTAAATAATCCACGATCATTTACGACCTCCCAAACAGGATGCTAGTAAGTAATTTTGGCGTATATGCAAATATCACCACCGAAAGCTAGATGAACGAAAGAATAGCCATAGAGCGAAATCGACAAAGCCGTGATATCTCAACAACAAATGAAAGAGGCCGGGTACAAGGAGTGAACAAGAGCTGCTTACATCTAATACACAGCTGGAGTATATGCAACGGCGATCCTTTGGCTCCGGCAGAGTCACGGAGAGATTGAAGGTGTCCGACAAGACACCATGCCGGGAATGATGCAGCTGCGCATATCAATGATATATGTAGATACAGATAGAAGTTTGCAGGAAGTCAATATTTCTGTATTTTAACCAAGGTTTTCATTATCGGAAATAAAAATTTATCGGAGGTCATGGATAAACAGGATATGCATGATATATCAAAAACATCGGACCAAATTCAAAAAAAAATCAAATTGTTTTGAAAAAATTTCGTAGAATTTGACTCGAAACTATTCCTAAGCTATTAAACATCACTTGTTCACAGATAAAAACAAGAATAAAACATTATAGTGTGGGACCGTCGCACGACTGAATTTGGGTTGTCTTTGTGGGAGCAGGAAAGAAGGGAAAAATTTGGCCGATGTCAAATTTTATCGGACCCTGTGGATAGAAGGAAAATTTCGAAAATTTCCGTGAATTTCGGCCGATAAAAAAAACCTTGATTTTAACTCCTTGGATATACAACTTGTCAAAGATGGCTGCGTTGGTGAACGCAAGGTGAAAGCGGCGATAATAAGTTACTGTTTTTTTACAAGGAAAGTAGACCGTTCAGATGACTAGTTCATCAACACTATTAGACTTGCGTTAGTCCACCAACCCGCACTATCGTATGGGATAGAATTTTTAGAAGTCATAAGCATTAGATGTTACTGTATAATACATCTATAGTTGCGTGCAAAACTCTTGTAGAGGCTGGAATATAAATTCCTTTTCTAAAAAAAAATTGTATAATACATCAAGCTAATGAAAATTGCTCGTACTAATTTGCATGTTTTTTCCTCTTTTTGTTCATTTTCTTGCGCAATATACACATAGATGCTCTTTAATCTTTATCCAGTTGTAATAAACTTACCAATTACTAATATATATGTTTTTTCATCCATGTTTATAATTTTTTCCCTTTTGTATAGCACCTCTGTGTAGTGTATTTTAAATACACATTTAGTTGAATCAGACACAACCTGTCTTATCTCACTCTGAATTAGAGAGAGACTCACAAGGAGGGAGGTCAATAAGGGCACGTACAACGGCCGTGCTGGTCGTTGTCTCCGAGTGCTAATTTTGCAACATCCCCCTCCGTCGCTACAGTAAATGAGGAGAGAGAGCGAAGGCGTCGCGTCGTGAGACGACGGCGAGCGCTCGTGCTCCCAGACGGACTCGACGACTGGCTTTGCGTTGTAGGGAGCCGTCGTCTTGAGCCAACGCCGCGCGGATCTTGCTGCGCACATGCGAGGTGAAAGAATCGTGCCAAAAAATCGAAGCCGTCTTCTCTGTCCCTTCGTCCTCACCGGGGGCGCACGGAGGGCGAGCAGCGAGCATGCGGCGCCGGTAGCGGGGCAAGGGCAGGGCGAGTAGGGCGTCGGCAGCGGGGCAGGGCGGGGCGAGCAGGGCATCGGCACCGGGGCGGGGTGGGGCGGAGCAGAGCCGCACAGCGAGGACGAGGGCGTGGTGGACCACAGCCGCGCCGGCGAGGAAGAGCTGGGCCACGCGGCGGGGCAGGGCGAGCAGGGTGAATATGGCGGAGGTGAGCTTCGCAGGTGTCCATGGAAAATGAATCCAGAAATCCATCGAACAGCGCCATTCCCTAGCATCTCTTCTTCTATCGACTTGACCTGCATCCAGAAATCCATCAGTGGCTTTGTACCGACTTGGTTGTTCTCTCATGCATGGACTGAAATTCGTCAAGTTTGAGATCCGGCAACCAGGTAATCTCCTTGTAAACGCCTGAAATTTGGCACGCACTGCAATTCTATTTTTTGGATAGCATTTGCAACTTTACAAGATCCATGTGTTCTAAGATCATTATTTTCAGTTAGTGATGACTGAATGTTTTTAGTTACTGATAACTAGATGTTCTTTGCTACTAGCAGGGAAAATGAGGGAGCCATGGTGAGTTGTGTTTTGCTTCAAGCAAGGAAATTCTGATAGTTCTGTTAGTATAATCAGCTAATGGTCACTTGTTCTGATGGCAGCCTAGGAATTCACTTGTTCAGTTCTGATGGTTCCGATGGTTTAGCCTAGTAGTTCTGATGACAGACTATGAATTCACTTGTTCAGTTCACTAAAAATTCTACTCGTAACGTATGTTATATTTGATTTATGAAATATATTTATTACATTATATATACTCCCTCCATACTTAAAAAATGAAGTCGTTTTGGATAAGGTTTGGGTCAAACATTGGGAATATAAATCATGAATAACTTTTAGGTTATTGAGTTTGAAAATGTGAAAACTATATGTATAAATGTCTTGAAAAATACTTTCACAAAAATTTACATATATCACTTTTTGATAAATATCTTTATAAAAATAAGTAGTCAAAGTTATGTTTTGGAGACCGTGTCACTGTCCAAAACGACTTTATTTTTTTAGTACGGAGGGAGTATAATACATGATTTATTTTGAAGGATTTGTTTTGCATCAATTAGCAACACAATGGTACATAGAAATGATATTCATGATTAATCATGGTTGCATGACAAGCATTAAACAATTTGTAGATAGCTAAACAGACAACATCTGTCTGTAGGTTATACTTTAGTTGTCTGTGTTGTAAATTCAAGAACATAGAGACAACCGCTGTCTGTGTTGTACATGCCCTGAGCATGCAAGACGCCGACTGGTTGGTTGTCCGCGCAAACAACCCGCCTTTCATCCGACTATCCGAGAGAAAGGACAAATGCCGCTCGTCGTGAAATCCAACCCAGCCTAGCCCAGCCCAGTCCTTTCTTGCGCCACAACGAATGAGGCCCAACACTTACGACCAACGCCGATTAGGCCCTTCCTGTTTCTCAGCCCACTTGAGAGAGCGCTCACGCGGCACACGCCGGTTCTAATTCTGACCGTTGCGACCCGAACGGAAGGTTCCATTCCAAAATCCAAATCGGCCGCCCGTCTGCCCCAGCCACCTCCAACGTCTCTCCTCCGCCGGCGCTCATCCCCTACACATCCCCCCTCCCCCTCTCCAAGGCTTCAAACTCGCAGAGATCCGCAGTCCGCGCCCCGTCTCCTGGACCTCACCAGCGGGCACCCAGCCACGCGCACCGAGAGACCCACGGCATGGCGGCGGCGGACGGGGACGCTCCGATCGCGGCGTTCGCGGTGGCCAAGGGCGGCGCCGTGCTCAAGCACATCTTCCTCAACGCGCCCCCGCCGGAGGCGACGCGCGGGGCCGGCGGCGGGCGAGGGGTGGAGGGCGGCGGGGAGGAGGAGGACCCGCCGGTGATGGTGGGGCGGCACCCCGACTGCCACGTGCTCGTCGACCACCCCAGCGTCAGCCGCTTCCACCTCGAGCTGCGGTGCCGACGTCGGCAGAGGCTCATCACCGTCACCGACCTCTGCTCCGGTGAGACGCCAGGCCGCTCTGTTTCCTTTTCCCCCTTCCTCTGCATCCGCGTGTTGAGCTCGTGATCGCGGCGCTGGCACGGTTGATCCGATTCCGCGGACTGGGCTGCTCTGTTAGTGTTCATTTCAATTGATTCGTGCTCGTTCAACTGTGGCGTATGGTATTTTGGGATTTTACTAGGACTTTAATACCTTATAATGCACTTGGATCATTTCGGGATGGGATCAACGCTGCCTTGATTTGGGTTCAGATTTTTGTTTCCTCATCGAAATTTCCTACAGAATTCTAGTTTGGCAGTCTTCCAATTTCGACCGAAACGACTGTGGAAGCTAACTCGGCGTTTGTCCCATTGTTGGGGTCTTCAATTTGATGCAGTGCACGGGACATGGGTGTCGGGGCGACGGATCCCACCCAACACGCCGGTGGATCTGGCCACCGGTGACATGCTACGCCTCGGGGCCTCTAAGAGGGAGTATAGGCTCCTCTGGTTATCGCTGCGTGAAGCATTTGAGATGGACGATCTGCTCTATATGCCATCGCTGCCTGAGGAGGACAAAGAGGAGCCCCATGTTAAGGTAGCAACTACCTAATTCTCGTTTATATGCTCGTAGAAGAAGTTTTTTTATTATTTGGCGCTAGATGTTGATTCCTTGAGGTCTAAGTGTTTGATGAAATGCACAGGAACCAAGCAGCCAGTTAGTGCCTGGGCACATGGATTCAGTGGACATGGAGACCCATCAGGTTTGTTCACAGCAAATCAGTATTACTGAATACTGGAAACATTGTATGAAATGCTTATCAGTATCTTTAGAGCTGCAAAGCCTGAAACTGCAAAGTGGCAACTCTTTTTTATTTTATGGTATTAGTATGGTTATGTATGATCTTCTTTGCATCTAAGTAATGGACCTGCTAGGTTGCAAATTCAAACTCAGCAATGTGGATTGCCTCAATTGTTTCCAATATTTGATGTGTTGACTAGTTCCTCCACTGTAGATTGTAGTAATCCTTGTATGCATGTTCTATGAATATATATAGCGTCTTATTTTCAGATCCACTCTGCGCTACAGGATTTCCTACATGCCACTTGAACTAGATTTGTTCTGTTAATCGTCACTGTTCAATCAACGTTCTCTTCTTAGTTGTTTACTGCATTGACGCTCCTATTTCATGGTACCCAGTTGCCTAATTCCTATAAATATTATCAATTTTTTTCCCATGCCTTGTGAATGATGCATGCCTGCCTAGTGCTAAATTTGATTGGAAATAATTATGTTGCCTAAATGAAATTTGTCATGCTGTACTGCTGTAGATTTGTTATTATTTGGGCACGTCATGCCAGTTGAAATAGATTGTGCATGTGCATAGAGCCATAGAATAAGTGTGAACCTCTATTTGGTACATACCGAGTATTATTTTCTATGCTCCTGAATCCTGATTCTATTGTGCTAAGTTAAATTTATCTGAGATGACATTCCAGATGTTTGTTTGCTTAGTTTGACAAATGATTTTTTAAAAAGCTTGGGGGTGGTTTACCCCCGAGTTTTTTTTTCTTAGCTAAACAAATGATTTTTTTTCAATGGTAGGTGTGCGTAATTTTCAGCTTGTGTCAAGCAACCGTTTGTGCACATATGATTTCACTTGGCTGCTTCTCTGAATGTTGTATTTCACAAGTTAAACACTCTGTTCTTGCATTTATTTTGTATGTTGAACTCAAAGCATATCAACACTTAAATGTGCTATCCATTATATAAAACCAAATTTTGTGACCTTAATTTAGTGTAAACCAAGTCAACTATAAATTGGATCAGCACAAACTATGTGATGAGGTGACAATATATATCCATTATCCAACTCCACCTGTAAAACTCATCTATATGCTCAAGTTGCTAATAGCATTGGTTTACAGTTTAAACATGTATGTTAGTTCTTTGGTTTTCAATATCTTTGGGTGTTACTGTTCCTTTCATGTCTTCAATTTGTTTACATGAGTTATATTGTTCTGTTGTTTTCTTCCTTTTTTATCATAGAGATTTTCAGGTTTGGATCCATTTTCTGGAAATGATTGCTAACTGTCTGATCTAATATTCAGGATACAAGTGAACAAATTGTGCCAAAAGACATTGCATTTCCAGCCAAGGTGCCCCCCTCAGCACCTCCATTGTCTGAGTTTCCTAATAGCATTGGTTTACAGTTTAAACATGTATGTCAGTTCTTTGGTTTTCAATATCTTTGGGTGTTACTGTTCCTTTCATGTCTTCAATTGTTTACATCAGTTATATTGTTCTGTTGTTTTCTTCCTTTTTTATCATAGAGATTTTCAACTTTGGATCCGTTTTCTGGAAATGATTGCTAACTGTCTGGTCTAATATCCAGGATACAAGTGAACAGATTGTGTCAGAAGACATTGCATTTCCAGCCAAAGTGCCCCCCTCAGCACCTCCATTGTCTGAGTTTGTTCATTCCTTTTTTGCGAAAGCGCCTTCACTTTCCCAATTTCATGAGAAAAGAGACGGAGTGACAGAGGAAAAGTTGGTCGACAAGGATCAAATTTCAGAATCTTTTGGTTCGTTGATCATACAGGAAATGGCAGGCACACTGACAAATGCTGGAAAATCAATCCAGTCAGACAAGCAGGATGCCTCAAACAAAGTGTCCAAGAGGTCCAAGTTGAAGTCAGTCAAATCGCTTCGTGTTGACACAGGCAGGAGCAGGGATAGAAGCAGCACTCTGAGCCATAGCTTTCAGAAGGTAGACCAAAATGAGATTCTTGTATGTTCTCAGAGCTGTGGGACAGAATGCGCTGCCTGTATAGCTTTATTTGGTATTTCTGAAGTTGAAAGAGCTGAAGAAAAGGAAGAGTTGATTGCTGAAGATAAGGTTGACATGAATCCCCCAGCCAGCATGATCATGGAGGGAAATATGAAAGAGAAAAAACCTGAGAATTATGTCCCAGAAGATCCAGTTGATGCAAAGCTGCAGAAGAAACTAGGCTTCCCTTTGCATTTCAAAGATGATGTGTTCCCTGACAAAGAAATTCCACAATGGAATGGTGCTACTGTTCATACAGAATCTGAGCTTGTTTCAGAAAATCTAATAATGCCAGTGAAGCACGATGGTTTGAACCATCTTAACTTGGAGGGAGATCTCTCAGAATACGAGAATATGGACCCAAATAACATTGGTGAGGGTCCTGGGAACTGTCCGCTTGAAGGCACCATTTGTGGGAATCTATTTGACAATTTGGATACTGAAGGAATTGAAGATGAAGAGATCTACCGACTGGACAAGGATGAAATCACCCCCAGCGTATCAGGTAACATAATAATGGAGAGGAGTCATAGAGGTCTGAAGCCTACCATTTCCCAACAGTTGATGGATTCCATTTCCCCTCTCAATTTAGATCATGACGACTTCTCTGAAAATGATAACTCCAAGCTCAACACTGGAGATCAGATGAAATCAAATGAACCTGTCTCTGAGAATCTTAACCCATTGATGCCCATTTCACATCTGGAATTCAAAGTTGACATCCTTCTGGATATGGAAAGCTCAGTGCCGGCTCTGGGAAAGTCTGAGGCTATGTCCGCTGTGAGGGAGGAAAATCTGTTCTCAGACAAGGAGAATGTGACTCCAGCCTCTAAGGTGAAGACCAATGTTAGGAGAGTTCTTGGTACAAGGATGGATAATTCATTGTCAGCAGCAAATGCTTCAAATAAGAAGAAAGTTCTTGGGTCAAGGGTGGATAACTCAGTGTTAGCAGAGAATAGTTCAAATAAGAAGCAATGCAGTGAATTATCAACAAAGTCCGAAAAATTCCACACAGTAGATTTTGATGTTTTCAATTCAGATAAGGAGAATTTGACCCCTATATCTTCAGGAGGCATGAAAGCAAGGAAGTGTTTTCCCAAGGACCTCTCAGTTGACATAGATCAAGATCAGGAAGCATTCTGCTCAGACAAGGAGAACTTGACGCCACTATCTTCTGCAGCTCGGAAAACAAGGGATATGTCTGGAAACCGTATACGAGTTGAAAGTGCGATCACCAAGAAAAGGGTTGCTGATAGACTCCCCTTCCAGACTCTTCTGTCAAATTCTCCTTTGAGACCTGCTAGCTCGCATGATTGTACCTGTGCTGTTGCTAAGCCAGCTGACATTGCTGCTGGTCACTTGGTGATCAAGTTGGAAGATAAATTCAACAATCTTTCAGTAAGTTATTGGAGTGATTCCGCTCAAAAAAGTTATTGGAGTGATTATATTTGTATGCTCCATATGAATGTCTTTTCGTTTTAGTATCGCATCTGACATGACCAATCTTTATGCTGGACAGTGTAATAATCAAGAATCAGGTAGTGCTGGACAAGGTATGAAAGCCTGGACCATGGTGGCTAATACAGACAGTCTTCTTGATGACGAATCTAGGAAGGCTATTATGCTGTTAAGAGGCCTAAAAGGAACTCATCTGTTCATACCGAGGATTGGTAAGTTCAGAGCAAATACAACTGTTGTAAATGTTTCAAATTTATTCTGTTATGCTCCCGTCACCAAATGTTTTGAAATTTGAACAAATGTCTGCTTGCATGCATCATTCATTCTGTTGCCTATGATACTCTATACAATACTCCATCTCAACAAGTCAACCTATGCTTATAATGTCAGCAATTTAAGGGCTGCTAGCTTCTGCATTTTTTACATCTTAACTGTCCTTTCAGGCCCCAAGTGATGCTTCACGGGCTTTGATTACGAATTGGTTTAATCCATCTTGCCTGTGATATCTGCATTGCGTGCCCCTGTTTGATTGTGGCAGAGATCTACTTGCACTTGCCGACTGAATTACTACTAGTGTGTGCTACTTGCAGTTGCTAACTGAAGTACTACGCTTCTCTTTACTGTCTCCACAGTGATCAGGGAGTTAGATTCCATGAAGCAGCGGGAGGGCCTGTTCAGACGGTCAACAAAGGCGACCACCATCCTGCAATGGATCGAGGAGTGCATGGCAACGGAGAGCTGGTGGATCCATGTCCAGAGCTCGGCCGACATGTTCCCGGTCGCACCAACCCCGCCCGCGACCCCTTCGGCGCAGCGCATCGACGAGGAGATCGAGATCGGCTCCGCCTCCTTCAACCCGATGGCGGCGTTCTTCTCCCCGCGAAGCTCCGCCCTCGCGGACATCGTCTCTCCCAGGCCCGAGGACCGCGTCCTCGACTGCGCCCTCGTCTTCAGCAGGCTCCGGAGCGACGAGAAGGTTGTCGTCCTGTCCAACAGCGTCACGCTCAAGATCAAAGCCATGGCAGAGGTACGGTACCACCACTGTGAACCATCATCACTTGCATTGCATTCAGTCATTCAGATGACCAATGTCTGCTCTCTGTCCCCGCTGGGCATTGGAACTGAAACTGCTTGGTTGCACGCGCAGGGCTTGCCTTGCGAGGGAGCGAAGGAGTTCCGCGAGTCGCTGATGGACCCGTCGTCCAGGCGGTTCATGTGGGCGGCCAGCGCACCGCGGGGGTCGGCGTGGTCGTGCCTGGACGCGTCCGCGCTGGCGGAGAACTACTACAACAGCCGCCACCACCACCACCACGCGATGAAGCGGAGGGTGGTCCCGGCGAGGCCCGCCCAGGCCGCCAAGGGCCTGAAGCTCATCCTGCGTCACAACTCCCTGTACGCGCAGGCCACGACGAACGCCGCCGTCAACAAGACGACGCCACTGCTGGCATCGCTGGCATCGGTGTGAGAGTGAGACCCTCGGGGCCGCCGGGCCGGGGCCCAGGGGCAGCAGTTTCGCTTGAGGGGAATGACTTGGGTTTTTTTTTTACCATGGAGTTATTTTGCCGGTGATAGCGTTTTTTGCTGGGCATGATTGCCAGTGGTTTCGTTTGGGCCATCGATGAGTTGAGTTTTGGCCGGCGCGCTAGCCTGCGGCTGCGGGTTTGCAAATTTGCAATGGCAAGAGCTGCCGCGGCACACGTGGACATGTCTGTACGGTTGGTTGTGACGAAGGACGGGCGGCAGTAGAATAATGGTCCGGATATCTTGTTGCTCCAAGCAGAATCTTACCGTCGAGGAATGTTTTCCGTGTAGAAAAATTGGCGTGCCATACCTTGAGCTGTATAGCCTGTTGGGGATCACGTGAAGCACCGCAAAGCTGGACGCAAATCCGTGCGTGTGCCTGAGAGGAGGCCCTGTTCACGAGTTTATCTGCTAAAATCAGTTCTATTTTTTCAGCTATGAAATAATATTTTTTCTTTCATAATAAATTAGTCGTAGCAGCAATGAGTCATGCCGAACAGGATCTATAATTAAAATCGCGTCAAAGAAAGAAAGCGCTGGTGGATGCCTGGGTTGGGGCCTTGGGGGTATAGGATAGCCTAGCACCGGGCAGGCAGTGTCTTTTTCAGTTTTTCTTTCATGTTGAATGGGTCAGCCGCACAATTGACACCCAGGCCACGCAGCGGCTAGGCTACGGTCTAGCCTCTAGGAGGCTAGTGAGCGTGCAGACATGACGCGAACCAGTCAGTCAATCCTTGATCCGTTCCGGTCTGCCCCCATCGCATTCGCATGTGTAGCAGTGTTACTACTACCTCTACCACAGGCCCAGAAGATGGCGGTGATGGGCCTCAGACGGGAACCCGAGCTCGGCGGCCCAATGTGCGTGTGTCCAGAAACGAGCGGGACTAGGTGCCTGCGTGCACGAGTCAAAGTCGAATACATCCTGCTAGAGTATAAGAGTTGAGAGCTGAGAGAGAAAAGGGCATCAAGTTATTTTGTAAACCAAACACTATGTACTCTGCCTAAGAGCTCAACCTTCCTCGCTATTCCTTCCGATCCCTTTTGTTGTGCTGTTCGTCTAATCCTTCCCCAAATATTCACTCTACATCAATTACTGCTAACAATTGGTATCGGAGACACCGGTTTTGGGCATCCAATCGATCCGCACATACTCCATCGACTGATTGAGCAACTGATTTGGTTGGTTTGATCGGATTTCTGGCTGTGAGCTGCTGACAGAGATCTAGATTGCCGTAATTCCTTTCTCCGCTCGATCGCGGGTGCAGTCGATCGGGATCTCCCCCACCACTAGCCCACGATCACTTCACCCGACGACAGCACCGCCTGGGAGTCATGAATCCGGAGACGCGTCTCATCATCGACGAGATCAATCACCACCTCACCGAGCACGATCAGAAGTGGGACTCCCGCTTCGCGGATCAGGAAGCCCGCGTCTCGCGCCAGATCTAGGATCTGGAGCAGGCGCAGGAGGTTCTCATGGCGGCGCTGGAGCGCGTCACGGCATTGCTAGAGGAGTGGCGTCCATCGATTGAGGGTACCGTCGACGACATCAAGCTGGACGTCTCCAAATCCAAGCTCGAAGTCGCGAAGATTTCGCGCAACTAGGAGCGCGCCGTGTTGTAGCAGCCGTCCGCAGTCTCCGGCGTCCTCGCCGCTGCTCCTGCTGCTGCTGCCGAGCATTCCCTCCATGGCGCTCCAGATGTTTTGCCCAACAGGCACCACGTCGAGCACCATCACCAGGAGAGTGGATTTGGGGTGTATTCCACCTTGATTCATTCCCCGGTCAAGGGTATGCAGCCGATTCCCCCACGCCCCCCTCCTATGCCTGTTTTTCCACCGCCTGACGAGCATGGAGTCCGTAGTGGTAGTACGGGGGTCGGTCACAATGGGTTTCAGAGTCCTAAGTTGCCTAAGTTTGATTTCCCCAAATTTGATGGTACCCAGCCCAAGTTCTGGTTAGGTCAGTGCAAGGATTACTTTTAGCTTTACAGTACTGCGCATCATCTGTGGGTGCGGGTGGCTAAGATGCATTTTATTGATGCTGCTAAACGCTGGGCTCTGTCTGTCTAAACCCAACTACAAACCTGCTCTTGGGAAACCTTCATCAGCCTAATTCTGATTCACTTTGGTCAGGAAAACTGGGCTCTGGCTGAAGGCTCTGGCTGAAGGCCTCTGTATGCGCTGTGCTGGCAAATGGTCTCGCGACCATCAGTGCCTGCCCACCATACAGTTCAATGTGCTTCAAGAGTTGATGGAGTTCCCTCAACTATTGTGTCGGTCTAATTTTAACCCTCAACTATAAAATCGTCTAGTACCGGTACTCCAACTGTCAAAACCGTTCACTTTTAGCACCTGGGCTAGGGCAAGGCTGTTTTGATCGACGTTGAGCGGTTTTGACACACAACCTCCATCTCAGTGATATGTGGGGCCCACGCGTCATAGACTCAATACCTCCCTCTCCATCCTCACGGCCACGGCCTCGCGCTCCTAGACGCCGACGAGGAAGGCGATCGCGGCAGCACACGCGCGGTCCGAGAGTGAGCCTTGGCACCCGGCGCTCGCGCGCCTCCAGGAGCGCCTCCATGATGGGATTGTTGTGGGGCCCACGATGCGATTGCTCCGGTGATGGGATTTCTCGCTGCCGATGACCCTTCCGCGTTCGTCGCTGTCGCGCAAGAAACGAGCAGGACGCCGCTACCGTCGCCCAGGCAGCAGGCCGCTCCGCCGTTGCACTTGCCGCTGCGAAGGCCGCCGTCACGCGAGTCGCCGCTGTCGTGCCTCCACGGGCCATGATGGTTGTGCCTCTGCGTCGCGTAGGCTGTGGATCCGCGCCGGTCGTGCCTTCGCGCCCGAGATGGTCGCGCCTCCACGCCCACGCAGGCCACGCCTCCGCCTAGCCGCGCTCGTCGTTGGCCCATCGCCTCATCAGCGACCAGCGGCCTCCGCACAGCAAACACATCACCACCCACAGCAAACGCCATCGCCATCGCTTGCTCCCCCATCTCTCCTCCGCCTTCGCGCCCGCCGGCTCATCGCCGCCGCGTTGTTCGAGGACCAGAAGCCGAAGGAGCCAGCAAGCAAGGGAGGCGATGACAAGGAGGCGTAATGCGAGGTGGACTGCATCGTCTCCAGCCGCACCGTCAGCAGCCCGATGTTCGTGGAGGACAGCTCGGCCACCACCGCCGTCACCACGGAGTACCTGGTGGAGTGGAAGGACGGGCACTAGCTGTCGTGGGTGCCCACGGAGGCCATAGCGGCGGACGTCGTGGCCGAGTACGAGACGCTGTGGTGGACGGCGACCAAGAAGGCGGACACGGAGGTGCTGGCGGCGTTGCTCGTGGACGAGACGCTGTGGCGAGACCCCGACGCGGAGGACACGCAGGGACGTGAGGACGGAGAGGGAGGGGTTGAGTCGATGACGCGTGGGCCCCACCCGTCACTAAGATGGAGGTTGCGTGTCAAAACCGCTTCACGTTGGACAAAACAGCCTCACCAGCGCCCAGGTGCTAAAAGTGAACGGTTTTGACAGTCAGGGTATCGGTACTAGACGGTTTTTTAGTTGAGGGTTAAAATTAGACCAAAAGAATAGTTGAGGGGCCAAAAATGGACTTAATCTATTTCAAATGGAAGAGCTTCCTAAAGAAGAAGAAGCACAGGCAGCACCACCACATGAGGGTCAGTTATACTCTACTATTTCAGTTGCAGCTATCTCAGGGTCTGTTGCTCCGAGAATTATGTCTTTTGCTGGTATTCTAGAGGGTGTGCAGATAATAATTCTAGTGGACTCCGGAAGCTCCCACACATTTATCAGTTCTGAGCTAGCATCTCATTGTTCTTCAGTACAACCGTTGGATCAACCACTGAAGGTACAGGTGGCTAATGGTCATGTGATATCCTGCTCCTCTTATGTTCCAGCTGCTGTGTGGTCTATTCAGGACTATCAATCTACCTCTGATCTGAAAGTGTTACCATTATCCTCTTATGATATGATCTTGAGTATTGATTGGCTGGAGTTACATAGTCCTATGAAAATACATTGGGCTCACAAGTGGTTGAAGTTCCAGCATAAGGGATCCACTGTTCAGCTTTTTGGCCAATTGCCTGGTTTACCGGCAGGATCAATTTTGGAGTTTTGTAGCACAGATCCAGAACCACAACCGGACAGTCCTTCCTCTAGGCCACTTGAGATTCAAAAATTGGTGGAGGATTATGCTCCCTTGTTTGAGCCACCTACACAACTACCCCCTTCTCGTGGATGTGATCATTCTATACCTCTGCATCCTGGGGCTTCCCCGGTGTTTTCTAGGTCGTATCGGTTTGCTCCTGCAATCAAGACAGAAGTGGAGAAACAAGTTCAGGAGATGTTGACTGCAAGGATTATACAGAAGAGCTCTAGTCCTTTCTCCTCAGCGGTGCTATTGGTCAAGAAAAAGGATAACACATGGAGATTTTGCGTTGACTATCGTTAGCTTAATGCTATTACACAGAAAAGCAAGTATCCAGTGCCTATTATTGATGAGTTGCTCAATGAATTGGGTAATGCCAGATGGTTTTTCCAAGCTTGATCTTCGTTCTAGGTTTCGCCAAATTCTGCTCAAGCCCGGTGAAGAGTTCAAAACTGCCTTTCAGATGCACTTCGGACAGTTTGAGTTCAGAGTAATGCCGTTTGGCCTCACCGGCGCGCCTGGCACGTTTCAGGAAGCTATGAACTCTACTTTGGCACCATTCTTGAGAAAGTTCGTGTTAGTATTCTTTGACGATATATTGGTCTACAACACTTCTTATGAGGACCACATTTGTCGGTGTTTTCGAACCACCGCCGAGTAATTTTGTATTTACGCGTCTGGCTCGAATAGTGTGCTCGGAGAACACAAAGGTTTATACTGGGTCGGGCGGAACGTCCCTACGTCCAGTTCGCTGCTGCTCGTGTTACTGGCACTTGGT